GCCCGGGAGGTTTAAATTCTTGGGATTCTTTTGGCTCTGTTCGTGGAAATTTTGCAGGACGGGCCGGACTTTTTTTTTGTTCCCCGAACGTGAGACCTTTCAGGTTGGTCTCTTTACCTTCAAAAGTATATTTTTTGCGGTTTCCGGGAGAGGTGGGATGCAGAAATTTGTACCTTGTCTATAGCTTGCAGACGTAGGAGCTGGGGGCTTTAAACCGCCCAATGACACTTGGAGGGGGAATGGTCGTTTCTTAAGTGGTTGTATTTTTAAGCATTACACAGCAAAAACCTCTCTACCCAACCCTGAATGTAAATATGACGGAGGGGATAATTGGGTGGGGGGTTTTCATATGGGGAATGGGGAGGCGTATTTATTTGGTTTGGGGAAGCTTTGAAAGAGTCTTGTCTTCTCAGAAGACTGGCAACTTAATACGTAATTTTCCACGATCGAGGCCACGTGTTTGAGATGGTCAAAAACTGGAAGGTTTGGGTTGGGGATCCAGTAGACGGGAGGAGGAAGTTCCGTCTCCTTTTCTTTGGTGTTGGTTTGGCATCCTTTCTGCAGCTGGGGTAAAGGATCTCTTGTGGCATTTCGCGGGGTTTTGGGGGGGGGTCTGGGTTCGGGTCGGGACGGCATCCTGGGGCCACGAGGGCTGGGTCCAAGCACGCTTTCTCCGCTACCTGGACGCCGCCAATACGATAGCACTGCCTTGTGATTTTAAAACTGAGAAAGTGCTTCATTATATTGGCAACGTCTTGGTCAGGTTTTCGCTTAAAATTTCTTGACTTGGTCTAGTGCCCAACCAGGTACACTGCTCTGGCTGCCGTCCATTAAAATACCAGGGTGGTGGTTGAACTGTTGGTGGCGCCTCTAGCGGTAGCAATCGGATTAGCCCGTTTCGCTCCGCTTTTGGCAACCCAGTACAAATCTCTTGTTTATTTTTAATGCTTTTAGCATTTCACGTGTTTTGAGCTGCGGGGGGTTATTCTTGTGTTCTTCATAGGTCAAGGTACCTTTCCCCGTGCTGTTCAGTATCCGATGTGCAGAGTGCAGAGTTTAAACCCGGATCAGCTGTTTGCGCACCCCATCGCCACCGCAAAGAGGAGTTCATCCCGAGCAATTTTTATGAAGGGCTGCAAACTTTCCCCCATTCGCACAGATCTGGAAACTTGGGGCCTTCTGAACTCTACGCAGACAGTGGCACTTTCTTGTTTATATTCAGAGTCAATTAAGTGCTATATTGTTTGTGTGGAGTTCAGGCCTGACTGAGCTACAAACCCCCAAAATAATTCTGTGAGGGAGCAGCGGCATTTAACAATTTCTTGTCCTGTGACTGTATCAATCTTTCCCTAATCTTAAATCTTGTGATTTTTGAAATGTGAGGAGTCCCGTCTTGCCTTCCAGATCTTTAACACTATTTTTCTTGGTATTTTACAGGGAATACAAGCAAAGCCTGCACTTCCTCATCACCTGGAACCAAGTCAAACCTTCTTTGACCAGACCAGGATTATTTATCTTCCATGTAGCCTAGCAAGATGATCTTTGGGCCAACCCTTACTGAACCTTGCCCAGGCACTGGCACTTTCTGTTGCATTAGACCAGGAAAGTGCTTCATTGTTTGGGTGAGGTTCTGGCTCTAGTTCACTCTTCAGAGACCTATCCATCTGTATATTCAGCTTTTTGTGTGTCTGTTATCCTCTTCCCTGCCAAGTCTTCCCTGCCAAAGGTGTGACTCCTTTCTCCTCCTCATAGGCCACTTCACCTTTGAGCACTTCTGTAGCCTGTACTCATAAGTGCTCCTTGATGAAGTGGCTTCCAGGGGGTCCTGCACCAAAAAGGATTGATCTCTGGCCAGATGCTGCTCAAACATTAGCACTCTACTGTTGTGGCAATATGGGGTAAGTGCTACATTGTTTGGGTAGTTTCCAGTCAGAATTTGCAACAAGTGTTTTCCATAGTGGTTTTCCCCTATTTTCCCTAACATAATGTCACAATGTAGGGTTGCATAAGATTTGTTTAAACCAAAGCAAAAGGTCTGGAACTAAACAACTTGATACATTCATCTTGCTTTCTTAATCTTGCTCCCCTGCAATCTTTACCTTTAACTAACTAAACTTTGTTCTTTATGACATTGTTGCTGTTATTGAAGCTACTACATGGAACTGCTAAAAGCCGGTAGTCTTTTTAAATTAATAAAAATTGTGCTCTAATGAATTGTAATGTGACTTTTGTAGTTTTGTCAAGTTTGGGAACCTACGCTGGGTCAAACCACATTAACTGTAAAACCTCAGTTGCATTCTGCACATAAACTAGATGTTTGCATAATTATTTGGTTTAATTCTTTTCCACACTCCCATACTTCTACAGCTTTTCCTCCCTTGGGTGTTCTATACACTCCACGTTGCACCATAACTAATATGCTAGCCTTGACTCGTCCAAATATGGTCTTCAATAAACACTGTCCTTCCACAGTGGGGACATTGGTTTTCGGGTGGGAGTTCATCACTGAATTTGCCAAGCATGACTTCCTCTTAGCACATTTCTCCCTTGCATCCTGAGTTCCAGTGTCTTCAGACCCCATGCATAGCTCTTGCAATTGTATTGTTGGGCCTTTTATCAATTTCAAGGGATCTGCTGCCCCATATACCTTTGGGAAAACACATGCAAGTATTGTGTAGCTAAGAGTTCAAATCCCCCTCCAACCATGAAATTAAATAGGTGACCTTCATCCATTCACTCTAACCTTCCCAACTTATTTCAAGATTTAACTGTAAAATTGCCAATTTTGGTCACTTTGAGGCCCTTGTGTGGAAAGGTTGAGATACCTCTACCTGCAAATCCATTTATCTTGTATAAAACCTAGATCTTTCCAATAACTTAACAAACATACATACATTAACCACCAGCAGCCAGTGACATTATATAAAGTGGGGCTGGTGTTTAGCACATTTACATCTTTCAAGGCAAATATGGATTTTCACTATTTACTTATTGGGGATTTTAATTATTGAGGCAATTGTGGGATTTAATACTGGGTTATCTAATGATGGAGCCACAATGTGTGCATCCCTGCACTGGCTCCTGAAAATGGGAAGTAATTGGTCAAGAAACAACATTCATATTGGCAGAGGTGCAGAGGGCAAAGACATCAAAATAAAGCTGGAGGGGTGTGGAGTTAGCCAGCATGGGCAATATTGTTTGTGTAATAGGCTCAGAACCAGGGACATGGGTGGCGCTCAGTGCCTAGGACTTGCTGGCCACGCTGGCTCCCGAGTGTACAACCCCAGAGTCTGACACGGCTACGGGCAGGGGTACCTTTACCTAATAGGCTCAGAACCCCAAAAGCCTTATAAAAGCTTATTTCTGCAGTAATGACATTTTCCCTACTCTGTCCTATACCATTATTTCCTCAACAACCCTGTAAGGTAGGTTAGGTGATTGTTGCTGGCCCAAGGTCACCCAGTCAGTGCTTTCCCCCCCAAGGGTATGCAGTCAGCTATTTTTCTGGAAGATTAGTTGGGATTTGAACCCTGCTCTCCCAGATCCTAGTCCCAACATTGACCATTCTGCAACCTTCACATAATGCAAAGGTTACATTATGTTAAGGTCTAGCTGCTAAATATGGTCAAAGGCCCAGCATCCACAAATAGGACATGAACTCATTCCCAAGCAGCTGGTACCTTTCACAACAGGGTATTGGACTAGATTACTCTTGCACGTCCTTTCCAGTTCAGCTATGATCACATCACCATTTAACTTTATTAAATGACCCCAGATTCTTATTTTCTCAACACTGTGTATGATGGTATATGCCTCTGTAATGTTTTCTCTTATTTGCCCCTTTTATAAATAAAAAAAGGGGGGAAACAACCCAAATCATGGGAATTACCCAAACCCCACCCCCAATTAACAGTGGCCATATGCCTGTGAAACTGATGCATGCATCTTGCTCAGTGGTTCTAAGACTGCATTATGGAGAAGCCTGGGACCTTCCTTGGAAGCTTGTGGTTGTGTAGGACAGATACTTCCCCAGGGACAACTGGCCACCACTTTTCTTGTGATGCAAACCACTGAAGAAGGCTGGGTTGTGGTGTAGTGGGCAGAGTCTCAGTCTAGGACACAAGAGGCCAGGATTCAAATCCCCACTCAGACATGAAGCCCTTGTTCCACTCACTATGGCAGCATAAACACAAGAATTCTGGGAGCTGTAGTTAAGGGTTCTGAGAATTCTAGCTGTGAAAAGAAAATTACAGTTCCCGTGATTGATTTTTTTGGTGTGAGGAGTGGAGGATGTGCTTAAAATGTATGGTGTGTACACAGCCCATCTCTTAGCAGAACCTCTCAAGGTTGTTGCAAGGAAAAAATGGAGAGGGAGAAGAACATGTATGTAATAATAAAAATATATAAAAATAAATGTAAGAATAAAATGTAAGAATTCTCCTATGTTTCTTGTAAACTGAGGGTATACTAGGGCCTTTTCTGCATTGGCTCCCCATTTGTGGAATGCTTTCAAATGTTCTGTGGAAGGGGGCTTATTTGTCCCCGTTCTTATTTTTATTGTATATTTTGTGTTTTTTATATTGTAATTTTATGTTGAGAACCACCCTGAGTTCTATGGGTATAGAGTGGCATACAAATTCAATTAACAAAATGAACAACCAACTTGTCCCTGCAGGAATCTTGTTTGCCACTACTGACTTTTAAACTGAGGAAGCCCCGATAACGTCCTGAGGGACCTCTTGGAATACAGTTTGAAAACTGAGGCATCATAGATCCCAACACGTCCCCTCACAGGAGCTGCAATACACGGTACCTCAAAACACAGAGTCTGAAGAAATATTTTTATAGCACAAGATTTGGTTCTCATTGTCCAAGTTACAATCACTCTCCCTGCTGCAGGGCCCAGCTGAGAGCTTTAAAAGAGTTCATGCAGCACTATTTAGCTCCAGGAAGGCAGTAGTCCCAGGGCGCAAGCCACACATCCGACGCCCAGCCCTTCCACAGCCGCCTTTCTGTCCTCCTTGTTATTCTCTCACAGAATACATCCTTTCAACCAGGCAGACAAATCAAGGCCTTCGCAATTTTCCCTCCAACCCATCCTGAGTGAGAGAAAGAAAGGGAATCTCATTAAAGAGAAATTCATTGATAAACTCAATAAATATGGGATGTAAATTTACAGGATAGCTTCTGCTGTACAAGTCCCAAAGAAACAGACAGGAAGAGTATAACCTGTGCTTGGAAGAAACTCATTCAAATTAACTGATGCACTGAATAAATTCAAAAACCTCTGGATCACACCTGAGAGCAGTTCCTATAATTTCCAGGTGAGCTAAATGGTGGAAATGAGGACAATTTTTAATTCAATTCAATCTGTGTTTGTTTGTGGCCATTGCATTTGAAAGGTGATGCTGCAGCAGACCCTACAAGTTTCCCTATTTTCCAGGGACACCCCTGATTTAGAGAAGCTGCCCCTTTTCTGATATGATCCTGAAATACCCTACTTTTCCTTAGGATGTCCCTATTTTCATTGGAGAAATGTTGGAGGGTATGGAGTTATCCAACCCCCAAGCCATCTAAATGTAATCCTGCATAGGGAAGGGTTTTTTTGTTAATGTTTAATGTTTTCTTATGTTTTTATATATGTTGGAATCTGCTCAGAGTGGCTGAGGCAACCCAAGTAAGATGTGTGGGGTATAAATAGTAAAATTATCCTTATGGAATGAGACGTCCCTATTTTCATCGGAGAAATGTTGGAGGGTATGCTGCAGTTTAAGATTAAAGCTCATGATTGTTGGAAAGAAGAAATGAAACAAGTGTTCACATTATACTGGGGATGGTGGGGTTTTGAAAAAATGTTTCTTAGTCTTCTTAAGTGGGGCGCAGGTGGCGCTGTGGGTTAAACCACAGAGCCAAGGACTTGCCGATCAGAAGGTTGGCGGTTCGAATCCCCGCGACGGGGTGAGCTCCTGTTGCTCGGTCCCTGCTCCTGCCAACCTAACAGCTCGAAAGCATGTCAAAGTGCAAGTAGATAAATAGGTACCACTCCGGCGGGAAGGTAAACGGCATTTCCATGCGCTGCTCTGGTTCACCAGAAGCGGCTTAGTTATGCTGGCCACATGACCCGGAAGCTGTATGCCGGCTCCCTCAGCCGATAAAGCGAGATGAGTGCCACAACCCCAGAGTAGGACACGACTGGACCTAATGGTCAGGGGTCCCTTTACCTTTACCTAGTCTTCTTAAGCAGATTTTATACTTTAGCAATTTAAAATTCTGAAGACTGGGGGGGGGGGAATGCTGAGAACCACGAGAATGAATTGTGAACTGAGCTGTGAACTGAACTGAAACAGAATTAGTTGCTTTCTGGAGGGGTGAACTGGAACAAAGTCCTTTTTAAAATGAACTTTCCGAGCCCTGAGCATAACTCCATCTTCACCAACTGGATGATTTGGACTACAACTGCCATCAGCCCCTGCGTCGTATGCCTGTCCCAGATGGGGCTCATGGGAACTGTAATCCAATACATCTGGATGGCACCAGACTGGCAAGGGCCACCAGGGCCACCATAACCAGACAACTAGCTTCTGCACAGCTGCAGAGACATCATGGTCCACTGGAATCTGAATGGTCAAGGGATCTATAATGTCAGGCTTACAATATGATTCTTCTAAGGGCCGTAGCTCCATGGTAGAGCATCTGGTTTGCTTTGCAGAAGGTCCTGGGTTCAGACCCCAGGAGCATCTCCAGGTAGGGCTGGAAGAGACCACCTGAAACCTTGGACAGCCACTGCCAGTCAGTCTAGGCACAATTGAGAGAAACATGCCAATGATCTGACTCAGTATGGCAGCTTCTATCTCCTATGAGCCAGTGATAAACTCCTTAGACTGGGGTAGCTGGCAGGGGTCTGATAGGGGTTGGAGTCCACCACTGTGGGCAGCTAGCATGTGTAATAGTCAGGGTGCCTGACTAGGATGTGGGAGACCAGGGTCCAAATCTCTACTCAGCCATGAAGTTCACTGGGTGATGAGCGTCAGCCCTACAACATCTGTAGGGCCACAGCTTCCTTACTGCTGAACTGTGGGGCTGTTATTGCATTTGTTCAGCCAATGAACAAATCTGGTCTGCTGAGGTTACCATAAACAAGATTTTGTAAGAACAGGCCCAGTGACTCCCGATCAGCTAACATTGAGATCTGAATTCTATGGTCTTTGAAATCTCTCTGTTATTTAAAAGTGCACCAGACTTAATGAGGGATTTTTACTTGGGGATTTTGTGGCTTTGCAAGGCAATTGTTCATTTTTACTTTTAAAATTATACTGTGCATCAGATCCTTGTATGTGTTTGTGGTTTCTAAGTGCTATGTATTATATTAAAACAGATCATTGCAATTCTGCACTATACACTACAGTGGTACCTCGGGTTAAGTACTTAATTCGTTCCGGAGGTCCGTTCTTAACCTGAAACTGTTCTTAACCTGAAGCACCACTTTAGCTAATGGCGCCTCCTGCTGCCGCCACACCACCGGAGCACGATTTCTGTACTCATCCTGAAGCAAAGTTCTTAACCTGAAGCACTATTTCTGGGTTAGCGTAGTCTGTAACATGAAGCGTATGTAACCTGAGGTACCACTGTAATAATAATTTCTGTTGCTTGATTTCTTTCGATTTTTTCAACACTGGTTTACCATCCATCTTAAGAGACAAGATCCTTCTGATGGCTGGTTGTCCAGAGGATGGAGACTAGCAGTAAGGCTGGATATCACCACAGTGCCTTGCTAACAAATTTCCCTGTTTTGCTTAGCATGCAGGAGAAGTGCATGGGGCAATTCCCCCCCCGAGAGATCCCCTTACCATGCTCCTAGGCCTCTTGGTCCTTGTGCTATCCTCATGGCACAGACAATGTCATCCTTGATGTCACTGGTCAGCAGATCTGTGGGGACAGAGGAAAAGCAGGCATGAGGGGCTGAGGCAACACCCGTAGACTCCTGCTTCTGGCAGAGGTGACCTTCTGCAGAGAAGAAGCCTGCAGAGGTGACCCATGAGTTACAACATCCCTCCGGAGCCTCTCTCCAACCAGCTCCTTAGCCTGCGTCTTGTGCCCTCCTATTGGAAAGAGAATATCTCTGCAGACCAGCACATCCCCCTGGTACAGAAACCCCCAAAATGTCTGCCAAGGGACATAAACATGCCATGAGATGGACAGCCCTCCATAATTTGCTGGGCTTCAACTCCCAACATCCCTGGCCATTGGTCAGGCTGGCTGGGGCTGATGGGAGTTGTATTCCAACAACACCCAAAGGTCCATGGGTTCCCCATTCCTTCTATAAGAGGACGGCAGGGAATCAAAGTCTCCCACCTGCGTGGATGTTTGCCTGTTGCTTCTCTGCATGATACCTGGGTCTGGCTTGGCCAGCTTCTGATGAAGCAGGCTTGGGGCACAGGTAATTCTGCCTTGTTGCCACATTGTCTGGGCATGGACCTTTCAATTGCAGCACCTTGGAGGAAGCTGCCAGTGTCTCTCTCCCCAGGTCCCTGTGCTTGCCCTCTTCCAATCAGAAGGTGTGTGTCCAAGATCAGTGGCTCACGCAAAAATGCAGGGCTCCACTGAGTGGACTTTACAAGCAAAGGCGGCAGCAGTTGCTGCAGTCCCTGCAGGGAATTCTGCTGCAACCTGGTCCCATGTGGCTGCTGAGCAGCGCCCTCTAATGCCAGGATGTAGAACTGAAGCCAACCCACTTCAGAGCTCACCGCTGCAATGCATTTTGCAGAAGTTCGGCTGGAAGTGTTTGTAATCTTCACACCAAAGGTGGCTGTTGATCTGGAAGATGCCATTGCTGGTGCTGCCGTCAGCTTCGTGGTCCACAATTGCCGTGTCAAAGTGGCTCTCATAGAAGGCCAAGCAGACCCCTATAAGGTGGAGAGGGAGAAGGATCCAGGAATTCTGCGCCAAGATTAACACAAATTCTGCTCCAGGAAATGCTGGGGTTTGGGCCACCTGTATAAATTATGCAAATTAAGCATATTTACATATAGGTCCTTGTTTTGCATAATTTATTTGCTTCTGTCAGTCATGCGGGAGGGACAAGGAGCTAGGCAGGACACACATGCTTCATAGTGATTCATGCAGCAAGGTGGCTCAATTATTGCAATGCGCTCCATGCAAGGCTACACTTGGGCCTGGCCTGCAGGCTGCCGCTGGTGCAAGAGGCTGCAGCTAGACTGTTGACGGGAACAGAGCAACACCAGCACATAACCTGAGTGCTCAAAAGCTTGCACTGGCTGCCCACACCTGGGCCAGGCTCAAGGTGTTCGTCTCAATTTACAAGACGCTTAACAACATGGGCCCAAGATACCTCAGAAACCGCTTGAATCTTTATATCCTGCCCAAGCCTTGAGGTTTCCAGGGGAGACACTGGTAGCAGTCTCCCCACCCCCCACCCCACCCCGGCTAAGATGCACAGCTTAAATTTCCAAGGCAGAGTCTGTTCAGCATTTTGGACCCAATTTTATGGAACCGCTTTCCAGATGAGGTCCCTCCCTTTTGAACTTCCAGAGCCTTTTGAAAATTGCTATGCCAGCAGTCATTTTAACTGAATTCTGATTTTATAATTTGAACCAATGTTCATTTTCACTGTCTTCAGTTTCCTGTACACCACTTAGGGACGGATGACTGCAATTAAGCAGTAGATAAATTGTCATAATATATAAATAATAAATAACTAAGCATACATTTCCAAGTCTTTCTCTTCACAGTCATGAGGGCTAGAAGCACGCTGTTTTCTTTTTGGGATTAAAGCTCACACATTCTCACCTCTAAATTTCATGTGACTTTTTTTTTTTACTGCCCTTGCACATGCTTGTAAGAACAGAACTTTCCAAACTGTGTGTCGTAACACATTAGTGTGTCGGCTGCAGTGTGTAGGTCTGTTGCATGAACGGTCCCTGTGCTCCTCCTGGGACTGGAAAGGGGTCAGTTTAACTTCTGGTTTGCTAGTAAAACTGAATTAGTAAAGGTAAAGGGACCCCTGACCATTAGGTCCATTCGTGGCCGACTCTAGGGTTGCAGCACTCATCTCACTTTATTGGCTGAGGGAGCTGGCACACAGCTTCCGGGTCATGTGGCTAGCATGACTAAGCCGCTTCTGGCGAACCAGAGCAATGCACGGAAACACAGTTTACCTTCCCGCCGGAGCGGTACCTATTTATCTACTTGCACTTTGATGTGCTTTGGAACTGCTAGGTGCGCAGGAGCAGAGACCGAGCAACGGGAGCTCACCCCATCGCAGGGATTCAAACCGCCGACCTTCTGATTGGCAAGTCCTAGGCTCTGTGGTTTAACCCACAGCACCACCCGCGTCCCACTGAATTACTGTGTCACAAAATGATGCATGTCTAAAAAGTGTGCCACCAACAGGGAAAGTTTGGAAAGCTCTGCTGTAGAACATGCAGCCCTGATTATTACAACCACCCCACCCCAATACCCAGGTCCTGAACAGGAGGGCCAGGAGATCCTGCTCCCCATACATGAGGGCTGACCTCAGTTCAGGTGAGAGGGACGGAGGGAAGAGATGGAGAGAAGCACTCACAGTCAGCTAGACTGTATCCACGGTAACCTTCCAAGCCAGACACCTTCAATAAGTGGGCCAGTTCACAGCGTCTGAAGATCTTTCCCCCAACTCTGGATGTAAAGCACATGAGGAGAGGCAGCAGCAAAAGAAGCTTCTTCCCTAAAAAAAGTGTTGGGAAGGACATGATCCCCGGGGAACGACAGGTGGGGCATGGGACTCCAAGGCAGCCTATGGAGAAAGAGAAAACCACCATGAGGCCCCTTGTGGTGAAAGGGTTCGGTTAGCAAGCGACTAGGCCACTGTGATTTGTCCTTACATTTGAGGAATGGGGAGAAAGCTCACCACTTATTCCTGGTGTGTGAACACTTCCATGCACATCACTAGACCTCATTCAGACCGTGCAATACCTGAGTCCTCAGACAAAACAATTCATCAGCTCAGACTTCTGGAAATGAATGTTTAAAACTTTTGGGATGTCGAAGACTACATGTATGATTATGTTTATATCTGATCCTTCCTCTTTACATGGGGAACTGTGGTCCTCCAGATACAACTGGACTCCAACTCCCATCAGCTCCAGCCAGCATCGAGAACAATGGGAGCTGTAGTCCAGCATCATCTGTAGGATCATCCCAGAAGAGTGAGTTTGTAGGCTTTGTCTTAGCCACACTCCCTGTCTTGGCCGTAGTGTTGACTAACTTTGTGAAAGGCAACAAAATGTTGGTCCCAGGGTATGCGGTCTTAACACACATGATAAGACTCAGCACCCGGCTAAGCTAAGTAGGCCTGTGTTTGGTCACTGTCTGGATGGGGAACCATCGGGGAAGCTTGGGTTCCATGTTGAAAGAAAAGCTGGATACAAATGTAAGATCAATGAAGAAAACTCTCTGGCACAGCAGTCCAATATTCTCCAGTCCTGCAACTATGCCCAGATGGCTATCTTTCAAGAGTATTCCTAAAGTGAAGATTGTCTGCTCCCCCTCTACACATAGTAAGTGTTCCTCAGCTGACTAAGATAAGGTTGCCAGATTTTTTTCAATGAATCCGGGGACACATTTCAGCTTCAATGGATTTTGTATGGGGACTGATCTGTAAATCTGGGGACTGTCCCCGGGAAACGGGGATGTCTGGTAACCCTAGACTAAGAGTTTGTAGCAGATTTGAAAGAGAAGCCCTCCACAAATACACATTCCAGCCCATCAGAGACATGCAGATGAAAACACGAGTCCCCACTTCTCTTGTAGACCAGCTAGAACTCAAGAATCAAGCCTCATACACCAGTTCCACTCTGTTTATCCCATGAGAACACATGTCCATCCCAAAGCTGTGGCTGAGGTCTACACATCATGACTCCACACCCAGCCTGGCTCTTCTCCCACCCTTCCAGAAAGCCACTTACTGAACAAGCCCTGCGTGAGTGAGAGAATCACTTGGGTCCCTCTGCAATTGGAGGCAGACTTCCCAAGGGGCAGGTGGTTCTGGAATCCAACGGGTTTCCTGTGACGTCACAGCAACTGGGCTTCTAGAACATGACCTGCTTCTGCTTCCCACTGCCAGCAGAGCTACGCTGCTGAGAAATGGGTGCACCCATCCCCACCATTCTTCAATATTGCGTCCGTTGTGAGCGGTGGGAGTAGGAGTCATGGGATCTTCTGGGTGATTGTCCAATAGGCTCCACAGCTGAGTCAGGATAAGCTAAGCTATATGCAGATAAGAGAGTCCATTCTGTACATCAGCTCTGAAGGGTATTCTTTCTTGGCTTGGGTTTTGTGTGAAGGACTGACAAAGAACCCACTATTTTCCTTTATTTGGTTGCTCTCTTGCATCGATTTGATGGATTAAAGAGTCCCTCTCCCCTCCTCCCTTTGGCAACTCCTTAAATATGGAGCTGATCTTATCACAACCCAAAAAAGGGGAGTTTATCGTAATCCAAAAAAAGGGGAGTCCAAGAACTACATTCACCTATAGCTGCAACTTAGCCCCATTAGCTACTGAGGGCTGCATGTGCACAGGTTTGGGGCACAGGATGGAGCCTCTGGATTGGTCAGACTTGGTCTATAAATAGACCAGGGTCTTCTTTCCCTTGCATGTTCAAAAGAACAGATCCTTCGGTCTGCTGTATTTCAGCAGGAACCTTGGGTCCAGCTCCCTGCTTTGGTTAGGAATGTGAGAAGAGCACAGCTGGGTCAAACAAATGGTCTCTCTCAGGGTTGGGGAATCTTTTTCAGTCCAAGGGCCACGTTTCCTTTATGGGCAACATGCCAGTGGTGGGTGGGGCCAGAGGCAAAAGTGGACGGAACAACAAATGTACATTTTGCTTTTGTGCAATATGCTGTTTTCTACCTGTGCTCCACACCCCATTTCCCAGCTTCTATCCAGGCAAGCAAAAGGCATCGTCAGAGTGCCAGGGCATATTCCAGCCAGGCAGATATACTCAAAGAGTCTGTGAAGCAGACTTCTTGATCCTCGCTTCTTGATCCTCAGATCCCTGACTTCGTGACTCCTTGCTTCCAGACCCTCGGACCCTTGGCTTCTTGACTCCCAGCTCTCTGACCCTCAGACTCTTGGCTTCCTGACTCCTGGCTTCTGGACCCCCGTTCCTGCTCCCACCCAACCATCTTGCCCCCGGTCCTGACGTCCCCTGCCGGGACTTCGATTGCCCGTGAACTGGACCATGACAGCACAAGAGGATCAAGAGGATAGCTGTTCATCCCCTAACTGCTTCCCTCTTCCTCAGAGTGGCACTCTCCTTCCCTAAGACCTTCTTTCTCCCTGACAGCAGCGGAGCTACAATTCTGGGAGTGGGACACAGCTATAACATCCCTGAAAGTGTCATCCATCAACTGCTCTGCCTTTCTTCGCTTTTCCAAATCTGCCACCTTGGCCTCAAGAGAAAAGATTTGTCTAGGGACCCAGGAGTTCATTGCACCTCAGACACACCCAAGACTCCTGTCCAACAGAGATAGGTATACTTGTGACGGACAGTTCAAAACACTGGAAAGCCCAAACTCCCCTTCTGGCTTTCTTCCCACATACTTGTTTTTGTGCTTCACGTTACTTTATTGAAAGCTTGGGTCAAGGAAAGGAGAAGCAGGGTGGGTTGTCCTGACCTCCTGGCCCTGCTGCCCAACTCCCACATCTGCTCAACTCACCTGGATGCTTTCTCAGCCAGGGCTCCCTTTACCTCATGGGCTGGGAACCCTTAGCAGGGTTGTGCCACAAAATACTGGGCCACCCAGACCTGTTTTTGAAGAACTAATATGCAAGAATACACAGACATGAAAATACTCGGCACCCTTCCCAGCGGTGAAGGAACAGGCTGTGCCAGTTGACTGCCTTTGCAAACAACTAGGTGCCAGTTTTTCCACTGGACAAAAACAATAAGCAGGGAACAAATCAGAGGGCATCACTCCCACTGTTTGTTTTGGGTTCAGGAGGTGGTAAGATAAGATAAGGTGGTGAAAGTCAAGCGACAGCCATAGGAAAGTCCTTTCGACTAGACCATGGAAATTGCCAAGAGCAGAGGCAAAGCCAATTACTATAGTGAAAGAAGGCGTCATGTGGTTGAAGGGGTGCCCCATCATCATCATCATCATCATCATCATTTTATTTGTATGCCACCTTTCCACAGTTAGGGGATGCGGGTGGCGCTGTGGGTTAAACCACAGAGCCTAGGGCTTGCCGATCAGAAGGTCAGCAGTTTGAATCCCCACGACGGGGTGAGCTGCCGTTGCTCAGTCCCTGCTCCTGCCAACCTAGCAGTTCAAACGCACGTCAAAGTGCAAGTAGATAAATAGATACCGCTCCAGCGGGAAGGTAAACGGCATTTCCGTGCGTTGCTCTGGTTCTCCAGAAGCGGCTTAGTCATGCTGGCCACACGACCCGGAAGCTGTACACCGGCTCCCTCCGCCAATAAAGCGAGATGAGCGCCGCAACCCCAGAGTTGGCCATGACTGGACCTAATGGTCAGGGGTCCCTTTGCCTTTTTCCCACAGTTAATACTCAAGGCAGCTTACGATATGAAAAGATTTACATAATTACAAACATAGCAGTCATAAAAATAAACAAAACACATCAAAAACTACATAACCAAACTGAACAATTTCCACATAAAAATAAAGATACAAAAAATGAATATCAATAACAACAAAAACTCCAAACAAAATTATCCCCCAAATACCCCAGTCCTTGCTGGGTGGCAGCAGCAGCAGCAGCAGTTCTTACGAAGCCTGTCAGGCCCCGCCCTGAGCCAGGTGGAGAGAGGCAGGAACGGGGCCCTCAGGCTCCCAGCAGGTCAGACTTCCCCATCCACCTGCCTTTTCCTTGCCAGGCTGATCCTGATCAGGCTCTGGCCCATGGAGCCAAAAAGTTTCTACACTTCTGCACTAGTGCAAAAAATTCCTTGAATACAGCCCGTTAGGTCCATTAATTTCAGCCGAGTCTACACTGAGTAAAACTTAGCTGAATACCAACCATAGAAAGTTCTCATAAATTACCCTATTTGTACATTAAAGTAAAAATTCTAATACAGGAATTAAATTGGTTAGATTGTGAATTTATCAAATATAGCATGGCAATACTTCTTTTTTAATGAATTAATTCAAATCTAGTAATACAACTTGGATCCTGGAGCTACAGCTCTCAGCCCTCCACCACAGAGAGTGGGACCCAAAGAGTCATGTCCCCTTCTTCTTGTTGACACACACATGCAGATTAGCTAAGCAAGGTCAGGGTGAACGTCCTCAAGGGTCTGGCAACATCATGCAGACCTTGGCTGCTTTCCAGAGGAGCGCCCAAGAGCCCATATAAAAGCAGGCGTGACACCCTCACCATCTACCTTGACCTCCTGCACTACAACGATGAAGGCTCTTTGGCTGCTGCCCTTCCTTGCTGGTCTCCTCACCACAGGAGAAGGCATGATCTATGGCCGCTGTGAGCTGGCTCAGAGGCTCCAGCAGTTGGGCTTAGATGGTTATGCTGGCTATAGCCTGGCCAACTGTAAGTCCATTGGGGGACATCTGGGTATTGGCTAGGCAACATTATGAAAAGACAGAATTTATCTGAGTGGGGGGCAGCAGGGGGCAGTGGTGGCAGGTGGCTGTGCACTACATCTGGGGAGAGTGCTTAATCTTCTGGGTCTGACTGACTAGGTGTGTAGCTGTAATTATGAGAGGAAGGTGTCCTCCCTCTGCATTTCTATAGCTAATTTGGAACATGCCATGCTGCATCCTGCTATAGGGCTGCTATAGGACGCAGGTGGCTCTGTGGTCTAAACCACAGAGCCCTTTGGGCTTGCCAATCGGAAGGTTGGGGGTTCAAATCGCCACGATGGGGTGAGCTCCCATTGCTCTGTCCCAGCTTCTGCCAATCTAGCAGTTCGAAAGCACACCAGTGCAAGTAGATAAATAGGTACTGCTCCAGCAAGAAGGTAAATGTTGTTTCCGTGCGCTCTGGTTTCTGTCATGGTGTCCCGTTGGGCAGAAGCGGTTTTGTCATCCTGGCCACATGACCCAGGAAGCTGTCTACAGACAAATGCCGGCTCCCTCAGCCTGAAAGCAAGATGAGCGCCACACCCTATAGTCACCTTTGACTGGGGTCCTTTACCTTTTTACCTTATAGGGCTGCAGGAATAGGGTGTAAATGATGTGTGTGAATGAATGAAGAATGTGGGTGAAGAATGTGGTTTGTGCATCCACATACAGAGAAGTGGAAGGGTGCAGCGTAGAGGTGGATGTGATGAAGTCAGGAACTCACTGGACAGCTGGATTTTTTATTTTTATTTTTGAATTTGCATTTTATTTATTTGTTAACATTCTTATATTACATCGGTAAATGTTGTCATATTACATTACAGGACATACTATAATATAATTTCCAACATGTATACAAAAATTATATAAAAATTTTATATGCCTAGAAAGAAAATGAAACAAAAAAAGAAAGAAAGAACAAAGAGGGAGGGGAAAAACACCCCCCCCAAATCATATACATACCAACACACTAGACTTCCTGTCTTTCCCGTTGTATATTCCTCTTTTACAAATGAATGTACTCTTATTATTGTATGTTTCTTTACATATTATCTAATACATTCCTATATCAATATGTGCTCTCAATGTATTTCTCAACTCAATCTCACTCCAATGTCAATCAAATGCTAGCATAGATAGCGAACCTTTACTGTATTTTTGAACATGTTTTATATCTATCCCACTTTTCCGTAAATTTTTGTTTTGAATTGCCTCTCAGGGTATTTGTTAACTGCACCATTTCAGCAAATTCTTGTAGCTTATAATGCCAGTCTGTTATTGTCGGGGGTTCTTGTTCCTTCCACCCCTTTGCCACCAAAGTCCGCAGCTCGGACTCACTGGACAGTTGGATAAGGCAGGATTTCGAAACACGTGTGGGTGTGAAGAATGGGGCATCCTCCTCAGAATCTGCGCACTTAGTTCTGACCGTATCATGCCTTCTGTCTCAGGGGTCTGCACAGCATGTCATGAGAGCAGCTACAATACCCAGGCCATACACTACGACTCTGACGGCAGTGCTGACTATGGCATCTTCCAGATCAACAGCCGTTACTGGTGCCAGAGTCCCAGCGAGCCAAGTTCCAACATATGCGGAATTCAATGCTCTGGTGAGAATCGGCTTCTCCTGGAGGGAGATTTGCCTCTTTCAGAGATGGAGAACCTTTGGCCCACCAGATGTTGATAGTCTACAATTTCCACTATCCCAGACCATTGGTCTTGCTGGCCGGGGCTGATGGAAGTTAGAACCAAAATGACATCTGGAGGGCCACAGGTTCCCCACCCCAATCTAAATTGTGATGCACAGCACATCAATTGCTTCTGGGAGACAGAAAGGATCAGTTGTCCTTCCTCACCCTGGAGCATTCTGCTTCAGCTCTTTGCAGGTGTGGCATTTGCACTCCCAAAGAGAAAAAGTCTGTGGTTCAGCGGTCTAGGTTGACCAGCTTATTCATATGTTGATGTATCTGCTGGCTGGGAAAGCCCCAGTTTCCTACCTGAAATGCAGCCCTCCTAGCCAGGAGATTTCAAGTTCCACATGTAGTCTGTTTGGACATTAAATTGTGTAGTCAGATCATAGAAGATACATTTATTTGACTTGGAATTAGTAAGTGTATAGGGACTGTTCCCCATTTTTTACCCTCTGGATACAAAAGGCTATTTCAAGCTGCATGCTAATGGACAGAGGGTCAGTCTAGGACAACTAGTTGTTGTTTTTCCCAGGCAGCTCCTGTTTCATTTGCAAAATAGACAGAAATTCCATATAGAGCAGCCGTGGCCAAACTTGGCCCTCCAGATGTTTGGGACTACAACTCCCATCATCCCTAGCTAACAGGACCAGTGGTCAGGAATGATGGGGATTGTAGTCCCAAAACATCTGGAGGGCCAAGTTTGGCCATGCCTGACATAGAGCTTCATCCCACCATCACGGCTTTCCCATGCTGGAGGAAGCTACACCTGTTGTATTTCTGACTGCCTCATAAGAGCCATGCCAGGTGGGAGGGGAGAAAAGGTTGCAACTATGGGAGAGTCAGGCAATATTGTCCGGCCCTTTTTACATCTCTTTTGTCCCTTCAAAACTGCACCAGGCCTATAACATCCCAACAGAGCCCCTTCATGCCAGCGGTGGAGCTGGCCGCTCGGGTGCCTGGAATGGTGCACATGTCATGCACCCGGGGGCAGAGCGAACCGCCAAGGGGGTGGGGCAATCGCACAGTCCGCCCAGGGGGGATTTTGTCACCCCCACTCTGGGATGACATCTGGGGTAGGCTGCCCCCCCACACCCCTGCTTCATGCTCCTATTGCATCTGCTTTCCTTGCAGAACTGCTGACGGACAACATCGCTGTAGACGTGGCTTGTGCTAAGGTTGTTGTTGACAATTCACCCAATGGACTGGGTGCCTGGTAAGAAGCCCGTGAACTGTTGGGAGAAGGGTCTTCCCTTGTGAGAGGTGGAGGGACACCCTAAACACCACAATCACTGCAGAAGCACCAGTTCCCTCTGAGCTGGGGAATATGAGGGTGCCACAATTATGTTAGAAATGCTCCTGTTTGATTTGAAAATGGAAGCGACGGTTGAGTTGAGGTGCGTCCACTTGAGACAGTCATTGCAAATGTGCAGATGAACAGAATAGAAGTTGAACAGAAGTCTTTGGGGGGGGGTTGAATGTACAGGGAAACAAATCAGGTAACAAGCCTTGGAAGAAGACATCCCCAACCCCCCCGCCACCCCCAGGTCTGTACAGCATGTAAAAATGTGAGTTGGGAGACAGCAGGGGAACGACATCACTCTGTTTCAAGCCACTAATGTGCACACAGTCTAAGTTGCCATGCCTATGAAATGTGCTGCATTTCAGTTTTTCAAGGGGGGCCCATGGCAATCTGTTAGATCAGGGGTAGTCAACCTTTTTATACCTACCGCCCACTAATGCATCTTTCTTGATGGTAAAATTTCCTTACCACCCACCAGTGCTCGATGGAAGGAGGATTCAGCTTGTGCCGTAGAACCCCCTACTGCCCACCCAGACTCCTGAAACACCCACTAGTGGGCAGTAGGGACCAGGTTGACAACCCCTGTGTTAGATGATATCAATTAATATATGTTCTTTAACACATCTATTTTAGTTAAGAAAGTTTCGCATAGGGAAAAAAGTCAAGTGATAAAACAAAAGCATTGTGCACACTCATGTTTTCTCTGTATCCAAAGTATTCCCACCACTGGTTTGTGAAACAGTGTGCACACAACCGTAGCCACAAACTATGTCGATCCAGTTGTGATATAACTGTGTTTTAATGCATTCTCCCCTCACCCCCAGCCAGCTTCAATCCAAATGGAGAAAACGGACAACCTAGCTGTGTTTGAAGCTGATAAAATGCACGCACAGTTCATTTTTCATATCTGTTCATTTCCCCCTCCAGGGTGGCATGGCGATTACATTGCCAAGGTCAGGACCTGTCTCAATATGTTGCAGGGTGCGACTTGTAGAAAAAACACAACATCCTGGTGTCGGCAGGGATGCTAGAAAACTGACTCCAGCCTCAGTTATGTCTCAGCCTGTCAAGAAATTGTTCTAACTCAGTCGCAAAAATAAATGCATTAAAAAATGCTGGAGACCTGTTTTATAATGTCAGTTCAGCACCTCTCCTTACATTGTAGGTTGGAGAACCTTGGGAGGAGTCACTACAAGGATGCCCTAGGCAGGTGAAGTCCTGGGTTATTCAGGCATGTCGCAGAAAGATTGTAGGAACTACCTGGAAGATGACTTGTTTATTGAGCGGTTATTATTGTTGCTGTTATTGTTTGCATTTATTGCCTGCCTTCGACCAGCAGGTCCCATGGCAGGTTACAACAACTTAAAAATCAGAATTAAAAGCACACACACATTACAGCCACAGGCATAGGGTGGGCCAAATGCCAGGATAAAGAAGTTTGTGTCTTCAGCCCTTGCTCAAACCTATAATGCCACAACTTAGGAGCTGCCACAGAGAAGGCCTTCCTTCCTCAAGGCCAACAGCTGAGTTTGGGAACACTCTCAAGAGGCCAAATCTATGCCAAAACATGGGTGAAGTCATGCCACATTGATGTTTCAGTCCTCCATCTTGATTCAAAACAGTGCCCAGCATCCAAACAGTGACAGAGTCCACTGCCCTGACCTTGGTAAGCCTCATGGTGAGTTTTGCAATGATATATTTAGTGGTAGCTAAACCTATGCAAAAAAAAAAGGGCTAAGTCATGCCAAAATCGTATTTCAGTCTACCATCTTGAATCACAATGGTGCCCAGCATCCAAATATCGACAAAGACCATTGCCCCCGTGGTGGGAACCTCATGCCAAGTTTGTCGACAATATCTCAAGAGGATGCCAAACCTATGCCCAAAAGTTACCCTCAGGGTAACTTCCAACTCTATAATTCTATGATTCTATGGATGCAGTAATACAAAAGTCACATTTTGGTCCACCATCCAGATTCAAAATTGCACCCACACGTTGATGTAGACCCTGGCCTCAGGAACCTTCATGGCAAGGATATCTCAAGAGGTGGGCTAACCTGTGTAAAAAAAGGGGGGGCAAAGTTACAACCAAAGTGATGTGTGGGTAAAACCTCAGTGCCTAGGACTTGCCGATCGTCAGGTCGGCGGTTCGAATCCCCGCGGTGGGGTGCGCTCCCGTTGCTCGGTCCCAGCGCCTGCCAACCTAGCAGTTTGAAAGCACCCCCGGGTGCAAGTAGATAAATAGGGACCGCTTCACTAGCGGGAAGGTAAACGGGGTTTCCGTGTGCTGCGCTGGCTCGCCAGATGCAGCTTGTCACACTGGCCACATGACCCGGAAGTGTCTTCGGACAGCGCTGGCCCCCGGCCTCTTAAGCGAGATGGGTGCGCAACCCCAGAGTCGGACATGACTGGCCCATACGGGCAGGGGCACCTTTACCTTTACCTTTGATTCAGAATGGCACCTGGCATTGAAATGGCAATGCAGTCTGCTACCCCCACCTCAGGAACCCAGTGTGGCAAAGATATATCAAGAGGTGACAGATCCTACGCCAAAAATTGGACAAAGTCGTGTGAAAGTCTCTTTTCCGTCAACCATCTTGATTCAAAATGGTGGCTAGCATCCAAACATTGACAAAGATTGCTGCCCCCATCTCAAGAACCCTCCTGCCAAGTTGAGTGGCAAGATCTTGAGCAACAGCCAAACCTATAGAACCACCCTAAGAGACAAGAGTCTCAAGAGCTTCTCTTCTTGGTATGTTGCTCACTTTCCTTTGTAAGGACATAAGAAGAGCTCGGCTGGATCAGGCCAAAGACCCATCTAGTCCAGCATCCTGTTTTCATAGTGACCCACCATGTGCCCCATTTCAATTCAGTTCGGTCTCAGAATTAACCCTTGAATGAGTCAAGGCTGAAGTGAGTTCAGAAGCTGATAGCCCATCACAAAAGCCAATTAGATGGAGTGGTTTGTGTAGCTCCACAGGAACAGGGGGCATCATATTGAAGGATGTGTCATACAACAGAACTGAAGCTCAGTTAAGCAAAATCTCTCTTTCGATTTTCCATGCAACTGATAAGATCTGATTCAGTGGGTAAGATTGGATTTTCACAAGGCACAGCCACAGAACAAGGAGGGAAGCTCTCCGGCCCTTGAGAATTAATCAGAACATAATATGGTCAAATTACTGGCCACACAACAGTGTGGGAAAGCCCCAAATTCCATTAACCAACTGACGCCACCTATTTAAGATCTCACCCTTGTACTCTGATTACTTATAGAACAACCCTTATACACATCAACTCATAAGGAAGTCCCAGTGAGTTCAACGGGGCTCACTTCCAGCTTAATCTGAAATAACTACCATCACTAGTGGCATGTCCATGGCAAAAGATGGGTTGGGTTCCACCCATCACTCATAAGCATGCTATAAATGGCCATGACAGAAAACACTATTTTGCCTTTCTGATGGTCATTAGGAAGGAACAGTGAAATGGGATTGAATGATTTATGTGGGGTCAAAAATGAGCAGCAAGACTCTAGAAGTGGTGTGGAGAACTATTAGCCCTCATGCTCAGCTCCCATCGTCCCTCGCCATTGACCATGCTTGCTGGGGCTGATGGGAGTTGTAGTCCAACAACATCTGTAGGCTCAAAGGTTCCCCATAACTGTCTTAGAAGCTTGTGTCAGTGGAGGCTGATAACTCAGTCAGACTCTGCATAAAAGATCCTGAGATACGTAAGTACCTCTGAATCTTGACTGTGTTAGCAAACTCTAGTAGAGCACGCAATGGCTGCAGTAAATTGCTCTCCAGGGAAGTGGCAGAACTAATGAAGGACAGTGCTTTCTGTTGGCATTTGTGAGGGAGCCTTCCCAGACCTGCTTCTTAAAAACCGCTTTTTAAAAAACCATATTTATTCTTCCATTCTTGGGCAAGGTGATTGAACAGGTGGTTGCTGAACAACTCCAGGCACGCCTGGAAGACATGGACCATTTGGATCCCTTCCAGTTGGGATTCAGGCCTCATCATGGGACTGAAACTGCCTTGGTCGTGCTGGTTGATGATCTTTGGCGGGCTAGGGACAAAAGTGAAAGCTGTTTCCTAGTTCTGCTGGATCTCTCAGCGGCCTTTGATACCATTGACCATAACATCCTTCTGGACCGTCTTGAGGGGCTGGGAGCTGGGGGCACTGTCATACAGTGGTTCCGCTCCTTCCTCCTGGGCCGTGTCTAGAAAGTGGTGTTGGAGGATGAGTGTTCAGACCCCTGGGCTCTCACTTGTGGGGTGCCTCAGGGTTCTGTCCTCTCTCCCATGCTTTTTAACATCTACACAAAGCTGCTGGGAGAGATCATCAGGGGGTTTGGGCTGGGTGTTCATCAGTATGCGGATGACACCCAGCTCTACCTCTCTTTCAAATCAGAACCAGTGAAGGCAGTGAAGGTCCTGTGTGAGTGCCTGGAGGCGGTTAGAGGATGGATGGCAGCTAACAGATTCAGGTTGAATCCTGACAAGACAGAAGTACTGTTTTGGGGAGACAGGGGGTGAGCAGGTGTGGGGGACTCCCTGGTCTTGAATGGGGTAACTGTGCCCCTGAAGGACACATACAATTGGACAAAACCTGCTCTCCCCTCCAATACCCTATGTGTGCTTCATTTGGGGAGGGGGGAATGTTTAAAATATTGAGATTTAAGTTGGAGGGGCAAGAACTGCAGAGAGTGACCAGTAAATGGCTATTCATTCATTAATTCATTAATTAAAGTTCTATACCAGGCACCCCTAACTCGGCCCTCCAGATGTTTTGAGACTACAATTCCCATCATCCCTGACCACTGGTCCTGCTAGCTAGGGATGATGGGAGTTGTAGTCCCAAAACATCTGGAGGTCCAAGTTTGGGGATGTCTGTTCTATACTGTCCTTCATCAGAGGATCACAGGATGGTTTACCAGATAAGAACACAAGATGTGGCTGACTTTCTTGGTCATGCTACATTCGCATGTTTCCCTTAGCTTGGCTGTGGAAACAAGTAGGCATATGAGTGAGCGTCAGTAAACAGAACTTGCTCTTTTGGAAATTCAAGGTAGTTTAGAGAATGCTAACATGGACACCCTTGTGTGGGCCAAGGAGGCTGTGCCAGAATCTTGTTTATCTCCACTCTCCACTGGTTGAGGGAAATTGTGCTTCAGGGAAGTGATGGCCCCCCCTGACTAGTGAACCATGATGCCTTCATTTGACATTTAAATTTTAAGATGAGGCAGTCCACTTGTTGTGGGGGAATAATATGACTAATATGTGAACTTTTGTTTTTATTGCTTTGAAAAGCTTTGTTAACAACTGGAGTAATTTATCTTTTCTCTGCCAGCTCTGCCATATGCTCCTCCTCCTCCTCCTCCTCTCTCTGTTGACCAGTCAGTACCTCCATTCTGATACCTGTCCTGTTTTGTCACTGCTTAGCAAGAAGATGCCTTTACGGCTGTGCTGTTCCCTTGTTTAACATCTGAGTGATCCTGAAGGGAACAAATGGTACACATAGTTCCATTGCTTCCTACAAGACTAGCAGATGAGGAGCAAGATGGGACTTCTTCTCTAAGTTCACCCAGATAGACTTAGAGCTGTAACTAAAAAATGTCCTAGTCTACTGAAGTGCGAGAGAAGGAAATATAGGCCTTATTGGCATTATACATTTAAAGCAGTACCATGGGACTTTAAACAGTCATGGCTTCCGTTGAAGAGTCCACGGAACTGTGGTTTGTTAAAGGTGCCAAGAATTGTTAGGAGACTCTTTCTCCCTCACAGAGCTACAGTTCCCAGACTTCCTTGGGGAGAGGGATTCAGAGTTAAACTACTCTGCAGGGAGCCTTTGGTCCGCCAGTTGATGTTGAACTATGAGCCTCATCAGCCCCAACAAGCATGGCCAATGGCCAGGATTGACACGAGCTGCAGGTCAGCTACATCTGGAGGGCCACATCTGAATTAAAGATACAGAAGGGAGTTGTTACATGCAACCCTAACCTAAGGTTACCAGATTTTTTCAATGACTTCAGGACACTTTAAATAAATAAATACATACATACATACTACA